ACTTATTAATATATCTATCCGTAAAAGGAAAAATTTAGCGGAATATTATATTTACGGTTCTAAAGTTTTGGAGCCGCGAAAGAAATGCGTTGCGGTGCGCGGTTCTAGGTATTGGAACCGGAACCGCCCCATGCCGAGGCCTACGAATAACGATATTTAATATTTGTTGGAATATAGACCAATGCTACAGAGGTGAATCTATCCTCTTATGTTGAATAAGAGGATTGAACCATGCAACATAAGAGGGTTGAACCATGCAATGTATTGCTTATCTCTCTTTGTCGTCTAATGATTATCGATGAGACTGTTTTACCCCTTCTTACCCTGCCAGATATGCGTTGTTGACTCAGTTCCATTCCTTTGATCTAAATCATGTGACTTTTAAGCACACACATGCTTTAAGCACATTCTGTCTACAAATACGCGTGAGACACCAAGTAGAAACCAGACCTTTCACTCTCTTCAAATATTCTACTGCCCTTCCACCTTCTAGCCCTCTATTTGAGGATTGTGGATCGTGCTTATTTGGATTGCATAAGCCCTTTTGCAATCTAACGTGGTCGGTAAGCGAGCTGCGCATGTAAGCGAGCTGCGCACCCGCCCACTTTTTCGTATCTCCGCGCGTCCCTTTATCTTCTATCAAGCACCATGCCTCCAATTCGCGTCGGATTAAGCCAGGACTCCATCGAGCGAGAAGGCCGTATATCACTTGCTATACAGGCTATTCAAAACAAAGAAATCACGTCTATACGCGAGACCGCACGTCGCTTTAATATGCCCGAATCTACACTACGTACGCGACTCCGCGATACCACAAATCGCGCTGAAACTCGCCCAAACAATCATAAATTGACATAGATCGAAGAGGATATACTCTAGTAACGGATATTATCGCTAGATCTACGCGGTGTAGCCCCTACGTAAGCTCACGTACGAGAAATGGCGAATATTCTGCTTGCGAAGCGCGGTTCTACCCCTATCCAGACCGTCGGCGAAAAATAGGTATATAACTTCACCTAGCGCTATCCAGAGCTTAAAGCTCGCTTTTCTCGACGATATAATTACCAGCGGGCAGAATAAGAGGACCTAAAGATCATTCGAGCGTGGTTTAACCTCGTACAAGCTACAATTAAGCAATACGGTATCCTACCGGACGATATCTATAACTTTGATGAGACTGGCTTCGCGATAGGCCTCTATACAGCCCAAAAAGTAATTACTAGATCAGAATACTACGGTCGGAGATCAGTTTTACAACTAGGAAACCGCGAATAGGTAATTGCGATTAAGTCAATTAACGCTTCGGGGTGGGCGCTTCCGCCGACGCTTATTTTTAAAGGTAAACTATATAATTAAGTATGGTTTAAAGACCTTCCACCCGATTAGCGCTTCGAAGTTAGTGCAAATAGATAGATAACCGACGAGATAGGCCTTCACTGGCTTCAAAAGCAATTTATTCCATCAACGAATCATCGTACGCGTGGAAGATATCGACTTCTTGTCCTTAACGGACACAGAAGTTATCTAATACCAGAGTTCGACCAAATCTACGCGGATCATAAGATTATCCCAATCTATATACCACCGCATTCCTCGTATCTACTTTAGCCACTTAATATTAGATGTTTTGCCATTTTAAAGCGTTCGTATAGCGGTCTAATCGACCAAAAGATACGGCTCGGGATCAACCATATTGACAAACTTAATTTCCTTTTTACATACCCACAAGCTCGCGTTAACGTAAATAAAATAAATACGATACAAAATAGCTTCCGAGCAGTAGGATTAGTACTAATTAATCCTCAATAAGTGCTATTAAAGCTAAATATTTAACTTCGGACGCCGATACCTCCCGTAAGCCGCGGTAGTCAATCAAGCGCTTTTTACCCATATACGCCCGTAAATATTAACGAGCTTTTAAAGCAAGCATCCTTAATTAAAGCTTTCTTAAAGCGACGCTCAAAAAGTCCGCTATCACCTTCGCAAATCGCGTTAAACCAGCTTATCAAAGGCTATCAGATCGTAATACAAAACGGTATCCTTCTCGAGCAAGAAAACAAGTAGCTACGTGCCGCAAACGCTACGTAAAAGCAAAAGCGTGCTCGTAAGACTAGATAGATAGCACACGATGACGATCTATCCGTACGAGAAGCATTAGAGCTCGAGGAAGCTCATAAGGAGCCCTCTCAGGCAATTCTAGCTCCACCAAGCCTACTACCGCAGGACACACCAGCACCGAAGACACGGCGTCCACCCCAATACACCAATTGCGGACAGATCGGACATAAAAGGAATGCTTGTAAAGCTAGAGATTAATCAATTTAAAGGCGTTGTGGTTGATAAAAGTGTCGAAGTATAAAGAATAGATGGGCGGGTGCGCAGCTCGCTTACATGCGCAGCTCGCTTACCGACCACGTTATCTTATGATCTTTTCTTTTGTCCGACCCAAGGGATAAGCATGGATACCAAACAGCGATCATCCAATCTCTCAAGTCGGACAGCCCACGGTCCGTCATAGGGAAGCAAGCAAAAAGCCTACCCAGCGCCACAATAAGGCTATCGTGGTATCGTCACCCTCCTCGGCCGACAGGTTGCCATTAAATTTTATTTAGATTTTAGTTTGTCTTATTTCTATGAAAATACAATTACGCTAAGACACACTGATTTCCAACGTAACCAACCATCTAGTCTGATGGCACCGTAGCCGCACAGACTCATGTCAACTCTATAAAAACTAGTCAACCTTAACGTTTCCGTACCTTAATGCTCTTAAAATCTTAAATCTTCTTCCTCGAAGAGGTTTAGACGGTAGGTTTCTGCAGCTATTATGGCCGGAAGGCGCAAGTATAGTATGACACTGCCCTTGATTGTAGGTCTGCCCCACAGATAGACCGGAAGAGATTTGGTAAGGCTCGGAACTAGCCTAGCAAGAATTAATTTCATTATGAATGAATATAGTAGAAAACTTAGTATAGAATACTTTCTCCTTACATGAGCGGCATTTTTCTCACACCGAGCGCCCGAGAATTACATGATTTTAAACGCACTCAATTTATCCCTCATCAGGTCAGAACGAAGAGCACAAGTATAATATCCTGTAGCCTGATCGGTTGTCTTGTCGATAGATCTTTAGCAAGCTTTTACGATTTTCCGTAGAGAAGGAAGGCAGAGTCTTTTAGTGATCCATGTCACGTGGCCATGCAGTGAGTTTCCAGATCTCTCAAATGTTCTCGAGGGAATAATGTAAAGCGGCAGCAGCTACACTTGATTCCAGCTCTTTCTCGACATCTTTCTGGACACCTTTCTAGAGCTCTTTCTATACCTTTTCTTTCCTAGATATCCCTATAAGTGGCTTAGAACACCTCGAGCGTGATCAGTCACGCCGCCTATTTGGAACCATTTGTATTATATTCCTGGTCCGGCTGTAGGCTGTAACTTGCGAGCGGTGAACCTGCAACGATCCTCGGGGAAGCGGCCAGTCCCGGCAGGCCTCAGGCCGTATATTAGTCATCGACCGATAAAGACTGACCGCCTCAGGCTCTCAAGGTTGATAGCCAAAAAGATTTTTAGAGCCGCTCATCTGCGTTCCACCTTCCACCTGCAATTCTCCACGCCAGTATGGGTGTTCAAAAGAAATCTCGCAAGTTTGCGCAGGCAAAGAGAGCGATCTCTCTTCGTGATAATCGCCTGTGTGTCCTAGCATCCTCTCACTCCTCTGATCATTGCTGACTTGCAGATGCAGGAAAGAGAGTGAAAAAACGGACAAGAAGGGCAAGACCGGGAAGGATGATGTTGTAAAAGAAGCGTTCGAATCCTGTACTCCCTTTTAGCGTCATGGCAAGCTTACTGAAGTTCCAACAGACCGCAGGCTCCATCGTCGCTTTTCTTCCAATACAACACGGCTCTGGCCCCCCCATACTCCGTGCTTGTCGATACCAACTTCATTTCCCACACCATTCAACACAAGCTCGAGGTCATTCCTACCATGATGGACTGCCTATACGCCAAGTGTATCCCTGTCATCACGGACTGCGTGCTTGCTGAGTTAGAGAAACTGGGCCAAAAATATCGACTTGCATTGCGTGTCGCCAAAGACCCCCGCTTCGAAAGAATCAGGTGTGATCACAAGGGCACATATGCAGATGACTGCCTAGTGGATCGAGTGATCAAGCATCGTGTGTACATTGTGGCGACTAACGATCGTGATCTGAAGAGACGCATTCGGTACGTCAACTCCCCTGGCAACCTATAACCATAATTCTCACGCCCAAACAGCAAGATTCCTGGAGCACCGATTATGAGCGTCGCCCGTGGAAAATACGTTATTGAGCGACTTCCAGACGCCCCTGAAAAGTGAGGGGTTTCCTTTCCTGTCACGCTCGGCTTTAAACCGGTTGTGTTTGTCCGGGTAGTCACTTGTCTTGAATCGACGCCATCGGATAGGTGGATCGGTATATTATTCACCAGGTCGGGACTTTCCCGACTCGCGAGTTTGTTCACGGTCAGCGCGGGCGCCGCTTTGAACAATATGCCCGGTTGTCATTTCTACCCCTGAAATAGTCTATAACTTGAACCGAATGGACTGAAAGGCTCACCCCAGTAACAAGCCTGGTACCTGGGGACGTGATTCAAATTCGACCACGGAAAATAATGAGGGCACTCGGTCAAATTTGCGAATCCACCATTCTCAAAATTATGGGCTGTCAGATTTGCGCTCCAACCTGGTGTCCGCCAGGAGCGGATTATGTACATAGACAAATATGCCCTATTTTCACGAATCAACGGCGACCCTCAACGGTTGGGCCTGTCTGGGTTCTCAACTTAGGCTGTGCCCAGATCATCCAACAAATCGTCACCCGCCCTTCACAAGATTGATTCGGTAGGCATAAAGAACTTGCTCAATTTAGAGGAATTGTAAATCCCATAGTTGAGCGTCGGGTAGTCCCCACACTAAACGTACGGGATCGTTACATTCGGGGACGGTTGGTTTGTCCGCTGTCTCAGTCATACGTCTCGAATAACTGACCGACCGAGTTGCGGGCCAGTTGGTTTACGGAGAAGCATTTGACAATCTCGTACCGCGACATCATGAGAAGATGTAGTGGAGGTAAATCTGCCAGAATACCGTGGTGCTGGAAGGAGATCTTCTCCGCGGTGATTTCAACCAGCTGCTTCAAAATCCGCAGGGAATACAGTACAGCCTGTATCTGGGCCATTAAATGGATGTCAGCCCATTCAGTTCGTTTGCCCATGAATCCTTTGCTGAGGAATCGCTCGAGATGTACAGCGTTGGGTGTCGCAGTCGTATTGGAAGGATCGCAGTGTATCTCGAACAAGGCAAACAAAACCCAGAATACAGACTGCGTATGATGCCCAAATATTGTTCGTGCAAGATCCAGACGCTCTTGAAGAATATTCAAGTCAGAGGCTGTCATGTTTGTGCTGCCGAGACTGACCTGCTCAGCAACGATTCTACCTCCTCTACGAACGAATTCATGAACACATGAAATTTTAGGAGGAGCCGAGCGAGACAGGTTGAAGAGGGAATAGCCAATAGCCCTGTAGAAGCGACCTTGTTCCCAGGCACATCGCCTGGAGTGGTCTTCATGGAGGATTCCAAGATACATATGAGGCTGTTCGGCACAACGATAAATATCCGGCTGCTCATACTGCCAGAATAGCTCAGACACCCTGGGATCACACGTCTGGACACTTCGCATGTTATTAGCCACTGTTGGCTCATCGGGTTGGTATTCACGAATGAATTCTATGTAGCCAGAAGACCGTTCAACCGTTCCGGAGTTGTCCTTGGACCGTCGCACAAGCTCCACAAAGCTCTGGTGAGGATCTTGTGTTAGCTCGTAGGCAAATCTCGGAACATTGACGAACCCGAGCCGATTGGCGAGTTCAGTAGGATGTAGCCGCAGGCCCCGGATCTCTGGCTCTATCAGACCTGGTGCATCTTGAAGCATATGCACCGAATTGAGAAGTACGACTGCGCCATGCGGACCTAGATCATGAACCAACAGATCCGAGTCGTTCGTAAGTACAGCCGAGCCTGTGAGTTTGGCGATCCGAGCACATTCGATATCGGCTTCCCCAGGGACCATTACTGTGATACCGGCCCATGGAAATTCAGCTTCCGCTAGAGGAATCTCGGACCGCTGAAAAGTCATTAGAATGAGCTGTTTGGTCCAGCGGGACCGCAAGTCCTCAAAAACCGCGGACACCATAAATGGGTTCTCAGGAAGGTTCCTCCATCGAGCGGGAAGATTTCGGGTCTGCCAAAGCTGAGCACACCGGAATGAGGTCTCTGTGCGATATTGATACTCATTATTTGGAACCGCGTTTCGGAGTCGGGCTAATTGCAGTCGGTGCCTGGACTTTTCAATCCGAACAAGTCGAGTCTCCCGCTTGGATATGGGCAAAGCACCATCGAAACATATATTATGTCTGCCAATTGTGGTTAATTATCATTTCGGCATTTTCGGGACGAGCACGGTTATTCACATTTCAACACCCAGATCAATCAGTTGCAGAAGGCAACTTACGACACCGCGACTGACCTCATCGCAGGTAGGTTGGATGTCCAGAACGTCGTAGGTTGGGTTTGTCCATGCTAGTAGGCGGTAGTAGACATGATATACCAAACTCGGTCCGTCAATCACCACTGACTGCACGCATGGAGGGTCCTGGTCGGATGCCTTCCTTAGTGAAACGGTCTCGGCATAGGGTAAAAGGTGTTTCGTCAAATACGAGATCCCCATCGCCTAACCTGAACCCTTCGGAGTTGTAAAAGTGAAGAATTTTTCCTGCGTTTTAACCGTCTTAGTCAGGCCCGTGTCCACAGATAGGAACCATTGGAATATTCACACTCGGCAAATATCCTTGAGATATCTTGGAATGTGTTGAATATCACAGGCAAATAATAAAGATTTCGCATAAAGCAAATAAAGAAAATTGATCAAATGTCATTTTTTTGGGTGTGAAACTACATGCGGTATAGATGTACAAGAAACAGGAAACCACCACAGCGCGTGAATTAGCGTGCGGATCTCAGGAATCCCACGACTCCACGGCAGTACCCCACCAGCCCGGCCAGGCGTTTCCCTTCTTGCTCTTGCTCGTGAGCCCAAGAGGCCAGGGCCTCTTGCAGAACACGATATTCAGGCCCATCCCGACGAGAACATAGTCCGACGGTATCAGCATGGATCTTCAGAAAGACTGCCATCCACGCGTTGACCAGCTCGAAGTCTCTTCGCAACTTCAAGCGCATCGTCAGAGCGTTGACAAATCCGGACAGTTCAGAGAAACCACTGCGCACTCGTGGATCCAAAGAGCGAATCTCCAAGTCCGCGCGAGCTGGAGGTAGGGATTTGAGATGCTCGATCAAGGGATCGTAGTTGCCCAAACGATGACCAGACTGCAACAGTCGAGTAATAGGAGACTCCGAGGAGCTTAGGCCCCCGGCCTGCAATTTGGAAACCCGCGAACGTTCTGCTTCCATACCCTGCGTAAGCGAACCCAGCTCGGCCGCTTCAGTAGTGGTTGCGCTCGCAGACTGGGCATCGTTGGTACCGAGCAGCGAGGGGAGGAAGAATGGTGCCTTCTCAGGGGCCTTCGGAGCTTCCTTAGGCCTATTGCGTTCCTGCAATGATGTTAGTGAGACCATCAACAGTCTTGGTGGGAAAGAAGAAAAAATCATATACATACCCTGATAGAGTCCAGGTGGAGTAGTGCCTGCCACCTACTCTTGGGAACCAAGCTGAGTGTCACCATATCTTGTCGAAGCTGGTCAGTTGCCAGCACCGGCCCTTCAGAATCATCCTGGTCGGGCACATCAAGGAAAGCTGCCTCAACGAGGCCTGCACCACTCTCACCAGACGAGGTTGGCACGCCGACATCCTCAATAGCGTCCTCGTCCATGTTCTTAGTGGAAACCGGCATGAAAAGACTACGGTTGCTCCAAAGGCTAATTCCGATGCTACCTGCGTGAGCGGTGGCCAAGAAGTCGCCGGTGGACGACATGGCAAGGGAGACACAGGTGCTGGAAACGCGGAAAATGTCGATGAGATGACCGGTGGGCAGGTCCCAAACGCGCAACACCGAGTCCATCGAGGCCGCGATAATCCACCGTCCATCATTGGAGAAAATGAAATCATTTACTTGGCCCACGCATCCCCAGAACTCACGGACAAGTTTTCGGGTCTCAAGATCGATCACACGGATCGAGAGATCGTCACAGCTGAATGCAACCAACTCGCTGGTCTTGCTGTAACGAAGCCCCGTAATAGCTGCCATTGGATGCCAATCCAGTTCGTCTATCAGCGAACCCGAGAGCAAGTCCCAGAACTACAGAGAGAAGTCGAGTCAGGCCTGTCAGACTAACGGAGAGAAAACAGAGATATGTACCTTAACTTTTCCATCCAGACCACAGCTAATCACCATTCGGTTGAGATTGTCAATCATCAACCCAGTGACTGCCTTGGTATGGCTAGAACCAACAGTGAAATCGTCGTTGGCGCGCAATTTCGCATCACGAGACCGGGGCGAGCGAGACGGAAAACTTTGGCGGTGCAGGCCGGACTGCATATTAAACATATCGATGGAGCCGCCCGCCGAACCTACAACCGCAAAAGTTCCACACGGAGACATAGCCACACTCTGAAGTATAAGTTAGCATTATCATGTATTCTCCCCGCAAGGTCAAAGCGCTACGTACCTTGACTTCAGTCCCATCACTGGTTGCAAAAGCCCAGCGTCCCGCCTTCTTCTTGCCCCAGAACCATGTCCGCGCATATTTGTCACCTCGGTGGCCAGTAACAACACTTTCCCAGCCCGTTGCGTTAGAGGTGTCGGCATTAGCAGCTTTGGGGTTCGACCAGATCGGGCCAGAGGTTGTCACGCCCATACCCCCATCACGGTTCAGAGAGCAGGCGAGGGAAGTGATTTCAGGTGCCTTGAGTGTCTCAATGACAGTGGAGTTTGAATGTCCGGAAGGCCCCATTTTCTTTGCCTTGCGTTCCAGATTACCCTGGGAAATTTCTGCGTGCTGACTGTCTTTGCGCAAGCTAAGACCCCAAAAGCTGCAGTCTTTGCTGGCACTTAGAAGCCATTTCCCGCCGGATTCGGAGCCATCCGAGGACACAGGCACGAAATCGAGAGCACTGACAGCAGCAGAGTGACCACCCCGGGAATGAAGCGGCCTGGGAGTTGGGGAGAACGGCGTCTCATCGAAAATCCAAGTTTTCAGGGCATTGTCACCACCCGATGATACCAGAACTGGCTGTCCGTCCAAAAATTCTACGCGATTCACACCCATACCAGTCTCGTTGTTTGAGACTCTATGAGCACCGCGGAGAATACCTGCCACACGACCGCCGTCGTTCAGGTCCCACATAGTGATATCACCGCTCCCACTGGAGATAGTGGCCATCACGCCTGCCTTCCGGCCATCGTGACCAGCACCAAGACCATCGCCGCGGAAGGTAATCGAGGTCACCGGAAGAGCCTGAGTCGAGGCATTTCTTAAAGACAAAACCAACTGAGCAGAATCGACGTTATGGATCGACAAAGAACCGGTCTTGTGGGCAACGGCTAGAAGAGACAAGGCCGGAGTGGGATGCATAGCAGTCACCGGCCCGGCGTCTGACGATGGAGGGGGCATGGTGTACAGAAGCTTGCCGCTGCGAAGGTTCCAAATATCGACCGCGCCATCACTACGCCCCACGAAAACCTTGTTGAGATATGTGGGCATAGTGCACATGATTCCCACATAGACCTGCTCCCCTAACGAACCGGGGGTGGACCGGGGTCGCAGACTGGCATAGTGTTCGTAGCTACCAGTCTTCCAGATCTCTAGCCCACCTGCCCAGCAGCCGATCACCCACGAGCCAAACACCACCAACCGCTCAATCGGCCCATCGAGCGCGGGACTGTCCAGACTCGCGACGCGCTTGCCGCGTTTGAATACCCAGACTCCTCCAGAGGATCGAGGGCGAAGATGGCCCCAGGCAGCGAAGACCTTGTCCTGCCAGGCACAGGTGGCGGTAATAATCTCGGGTGTTTGTGGTCGACTCAAGAAGACCAGGTTCAGGCCTCGGCGCAAGTCATACGTCTGGAGCGAATGGCCCACGGAAGTTGTAATTTGGAATGTCGACTTGCCCAGGCGCACGCTAGTAAAGGGAACGGGGGTCGGTGACACGAGTCCTAACGTCTTCACACGCAGCGAGTCAGCAGAAAGGATTGAGTTATAATATTTCGTTCTTAACGTACCCTAAAAGGAGCGAAGACTTTGGAGCCATTTCGGCTTTCCTCCGGGGCTTTTTCATCAAACACTCTCTTTTGCCTCTTTGCTAGAGGCAAGCCGAATGTATCATTGGCCAATGCCGGCATATTGTTGCGTGCAAGATGCAATGCTGTAACGGCCGCGCGTATAACAACGGAACAACGAGACTTAGGGAAAATCACAATATCAAACGGGAAGAAGATATAACAGGCCTTTCAAGTAACAAAAGTACAGAAAGAATAAGCCGAATTGCGAACTACTCGACATCCGCAGGCCGATGGTTACTTGAATAGCGTGGTGATTTTTTTTTCTTTCTCCGCAAGAAAGCTCTGACCGCCTTCCGTCCCGCCTTATGGCCTATGAGCACCGAATCCAAGCGTCCGCAAGTTAAACATTGAAATAACTAAACAGTTCAATTGCGAGAACCCGAAGTACGATGGCATTGGAATATGAATATCGTCCCCGCCATCGGCTCAGTCTAAGAAGCTCGTTGATGCAATTGGAAGGGGCGGGGGCTACAGCAGGCGGAGCCGAACAGAGAAGAGCAGGCTAAAAGAGGGCGAGAGATACAGAGCGGATTCTGAAACTAGAGTTAACTACCTCGTAAAAGTATGATGAGTTGATAGTAGTCTGGAATTCAGCGTAGTCGAAGAGGTGAAGCTCGGGTGATTTTGTGCCGCAAACAGTTCTCAGTCTCCGTCACTGTCAATCTTCTCCGCCTCCAGGCAAAACTCTGGATTTTTCTCATACCCATCTTTGTGAAGCCCATCCGTGGTCGGAGCATGCTTTCACCCATTCTACTGTGACAGGGTAACTGATTAGCCCCAGAATCGCACTCGCCTTCCACCCCCACCTCACCCCTCCATCCTACCGCATCTCTCGTCTTTGAAATTGTCCCTTCTCCGTAACATGGATACCGACAATGGCCAGAGTAGCGGCCCATCTGTGGATATCGGCTCCTCAAAAGCCACCCTTGATTATACGGGCCCGCTGAGTATGGAACCCGAGCCGAAGGATTTTCCCCCGACGGAGTCCACGATATCGACCAAGCACCATGGCCAATACAGCCCCGTGAAGCCGGGTAAGACAGAGACAGATAAAAGCTCGTCGCCTCGCTTCGGGCAGTCTACACGCTCGTCCAGCCGGCCGGCCCGCAGATTCAGCGGCAGCACCGCTGCTAGCACCGCCGCCAGCTCTATCAGCGAGATGGAGACCAATACCCCGAGACCCTGGAGGATCGGTGTGTGTGCCTTGGATGTCAAAGCACGTAGCAAGCCAAGCCAAAATATTCTGACTAGACTTCAGTCTAAGGGCGACTTTGAGGTCATTGTCTTTGGCGACAAGGTCATCCTCGATGAGGCCGTGGAGAACTGGCCCGTCTGTGATTTCCTGATTGCGTTCTTCTCGGATGGATTCCCTCTGGACAAAGCGATCGCGTATGCCAAATTGCGGAAGCCATTCTGTGTCAACGATCTTCCGATGCAGAAAGTGCTGTGGGATCGCCGTCTGTGTCTCAAAATTTTGGACCAAATGGGAGTTCCTACTCCCAAGAGAATGGAGGTAAACCGCGATGGCGGGCCGGTTCTGGAATCATCGGAGCTCGCTCAACATATATACAGACTCACAGGAGTGAAATTGGAGGGCCCGGAGGATGGCACCGGCGGTGGCGCCCCGAAGACCCAGCAAGTATCCATGTCGGAAGACGGGGAAGCTCTGGTGGTGGACGGCAAGGTCCTCCGGAAGCCCTTTGTGGAAAAGCCAGTTAACGGTGAGGATCACAATATCCACATTTACTTCCCCAATGATCAACAATACGGCGGCGGAGGACGCAAACTGTTCCGTAAAGTCGGGAACAAAAGCTCAGAATACGACCCTACCCTTTCCGTGCCACGGTCTCTCACTGAGTCAGGAACGAGCTATCTATACGAACAATTCCTGCGCGTGGACAATGCCGAGGACGTGAAAGCATACACAGTCGGGCCCGATTTCTGCCATGCCGAGACACGCAAGTCCCCCGTGGTTGACGGGCTTGTCCGACGTAACACTCACGGAAAGGAGCTGCGGTACATTACCAAACTAAGCCAGGAAGAGGCAGCGATCGCCTCCAAAATCTCGAACGGTTTTGGGCAGAGGATCTGCGGATTTGATATGCTTCGCGTTGGAGATAAAAGCTACGTCATCGATGTCAACGGCTGGAGCTTCGTCAAGGACAACAATGACTATTACGACAAGTGCGCCAATATCCTCGGAGACACTTTCTTCGTCGAGAGGCGAAAGTGCGAGGGATCGATAGAGCGTTCTGAACCACCTTCTCCGGATATGGGTCCATCCCGAAGAAGCACGGCTGGCTCTCACCGACAAGCGTTGAAAACGCTTTTGAAGTCTCCAAGCACCTCCCGACTTCATAAATCCCACGATCCAGCTCCTTCGGATGGATCGACCGTTGCTCCCTCGCTGGCATCATCCTCGGGGATTGAGAGTACTGATCTCGGAGCGACTCTCAGCAAATTGAACTCGCGTGACGGACTTTCCGAACCCCGGGGATATAGTCCTTCTAACACAAAATCTCCGGCCTTGTCACTGCACCATCCCAACGATGGAGCTCCTCCACCACTTCCTGCTTCGAAGCATTCGTGGAAATTGAAAGGAATGGTGGCAGTCATTCGACATGCGGATCGCACTCCGAAGCAAAAGTTCAAGTTTACATTCCACAGCCAACCGTTTGTGGATCTCCTGAAGGGTCACCAGGAGGAGGTGGTAATCAAAGGAGAGGCTGCTTTGTCAAGTGTCTCCAATGCAGTGAAGTTGGCAATGGAACGGGGCTTGGAAGATATGGAGAAGCTAAAATTGCTTAGTACGTCTCTTGAAAAGAAGGGCGGCTGGCCTGGAACAAAGGTACAGATTAAGCCCATGTTTCGGAAGCGGAGGCCGGAAGAGATGCGAGAACAAGTTTCACCTGCTACACCGACGGCACCGCCGGGCGAGATAGCCTCCGAGGAGCCTCTTTCGCCCGTGGTCAGCGAGCCTACGCCTGATAACGACCCATTTGGCAGGCCCCAAACCCGAAGTGACTCAATTTCCGGTGCCACTTTCTCTCGATTCTCGGCTGTGGAGAATGATCTGATTCTAGACAAACTTCAACTTGTCATCAAGTGGGGAGGAGAACCAACGCATGCAGCACGTTACCAATCACAGGATCTTGGATTGAACATGCGTGATGACCTCAAGTTGATGAACAAGGAGGCTCTAAACAACGTTCGTCTTTTCACAAGTTCTGAACGGAGAGTGAGCACCAGTGGTACGTGAAAGTCCCCTTAGACAAAATGGATCTCCCAAATATCTTACTCACAAGTGATTTTCTAGCTCAAATCTGGGCATGTTCGTTCCTCGACGAGAAAGAGGTACCCGAGGACCTCATCCAGGTCCGAAAGGATCTACTAGATGACTCTAATGCTGCGAAAGATGTTATGGACAAGGTCAAGAAGAAGTTGAAGCTGCTTTTGCGAGAAGGGTCCGCACCCTCACAATTTGCTTGGCCTAAAGATGGAAATATTCCGGAGCCCTCGGTTGTCCTCGCTACAGTGGTGGCATTAATGAAGTTCCATCGAAGTGTAATGCGCCACAACTTTGAGAAATTGGACTTGATGGACTCACAGCCCTTACCAACCTCCAAGGGTCCCGAGGACATCGGTCTGCCCAGCCAGCCAGACCCGCAGCCAGACCTTTACAATGTTTCCACTATCCAGGGACGTTGGTGTGCAGGGGAAGACCCGCGTCTCTTCAAAGAGAGATGGGAGAAGCTTTTCGCAGAGTTTTGCGACACCGAAAAGGTGGATCCCAGCAAACTGTCTGAACTCTATGACAGTATGAAATTTGATGCACTCCACAACCGACAATTCCTGGAATGGATCTTCATGCCACCTGACAGTGACCGCGATGAAGACGATAAGTGCAGTGTCAAGGGCAAGAGCTCCCCGAGTTCCGATTCAACCACGGAAAGCACCAAGACCGGCCTTGACCCTGCAAACGAAAAGATCGAGGAGCGTACGGAAAATCCGATATTTGCACATCGGTTTGGATGGAAGAAGCGCCTTCAAGCAATTGAGTCACTACCACAACTTCGAGCGTTGGATGATTCATATGACCATTACTTCAAGCTCTTCCCGGGCTCTACCTCGAGCAAATGCAAGATGGACGAACGACTCTCTAAGCTCCGAGAACTGTACAAGTTGGCCAAGGTTCTGTTCGACTACGTGACACCTCAGGAATACGGCATTACCGACAGCGAGAAGCTTGAAATCGGTCTTCTCACGTCGCTTCCTCTACTTCAAGAAATCGTTCGTGACCTGGAAGAAGTTCAGGCATCTACAGATGCGAAGTCTTTCTTTTACTTCACGAAAGAGTCTCACATCTACACACTTTTGAATTGTATTTTGGAGGGTGGGATCCAAACAAAGATTGCTCGCAGCGCCATTCCAGAGCTTGACTATCTCTCCCAGATCTGCTTTGAGCTCTACGAAGCACGAGATGCAGAATCGGAAGTTAATTCTTACTCGATCCGAATTTCCATCAGCCCGGGCTGTCACGCTTTCGACCCGCTTGACGTGCAACTTGATTCGCGGCACGCCATCGGTTGCGCTCCTCGGCGCAGCTTGACTGCCCATCAAGACTGGAAGGAAGTGATCGAAACGCTGAAGGCAAAGTTTGACACGTAAGCATCATATAGAGTTGATCTTTCTTTTGCATTAAGCTAACTATCGACTGAAGGGTCAAACTTCCGAAATCATTCATTGCCGTCAACTTAAGTGACAAGCATGTTTCTACTCGGCCAGAAGAGCAGGAGCTTGTCTAGCCATCTTGGCTGCAGTCATGGTCTCTAACACGAAATCAGAAGCCCCAGTCGATGCAGGTGTGTTAGAGGGCAGGGGATGCTCATGTGTATTGTGTATTGTGTATTGTGTATTGTACTGTATACTCTTATGTATATAACTTTCTTTCTATTAAAGCATGTTTCATTCTGGCTCAGTAGATCTAAGAGATAATATATGTTTGATTATCCTAGACCGTATTTGAGAGCATAAGAGGTTGACTCGTCACGTAGTCACCGACAGATGCGACGTCAATGAACAGACCTTACCCCGCCAAATGCTTATCAACTGAAACAACATCAGGCTGTCACCTGCAGTGAAAGTCCACCATTTTCTCCACCAGTAATCCCCAAATGACGCCAGCAGAGCCCGATCAGAATGCTGCGTGCAGTGCCGCCGTAGTGGGAAATGTGCTAAAGTATTCGCAGCGCGCAGGGGGTGAGGGGCATGTTGATTTGACTGATATTGTGGGTGTGCTACCCCGGCCGGGACATCGATCGGAATACCTGGTGCTCTTTCTGGACAAAGGTCAAGGTCATGGCGATGATATCTGTCCTCGCCTAGCAAAACTATGCATACATACTTTGGTGGAGGGGTTGTCCCCGTTTCTAACGGAGATTCCAAGCTATCTTCAACAAGGAGAGCCCGTGCAAGTTGTGATATCAACGCAATCTGGGACAGGAATAGCAAAGACAGTTTATCAACATGCTGTGCAACCATTCCTGACCTATCTCGCCATTTCGCACCAGGTCCATGAAACCCAGTCAGCCCAGACAATCCTTGAACTATCCCAATCACAATTCCTGGAGCGAGCCTGTGCGGGGATTCCTCAAACTATCATTCTTCTGTCCGGAGATGGGGGCCTCATCGACATCGTCGATGTCTTCTACAGAACTCATCGCAAGATGCATGTTTCACCGCATATTGCCTTGGTCCCCTGTGGGACAGGGAACGCGATGGCAAGCTCGATTGGACTACGAGCGGGCCCGGCTTCTAGCCTCACTGGGCTTCTTTGGGGAAAATCCGTTCCCATGCCCGTTTTTGCTGCCAAGCTCTCTCCTGGAAGCCAGCTCGTTGTTGACGAGGGGCGCAATCGTTCTCCGATAGATGCCGACTCTGACGCTCCTCACCGAACGATGTACGGTGCAGTGGTTGCGAGCTGGGGATTACATGCGGCACTGGTCGCAGATAGTGACACTGTTGACTACCGCAAGTTCGGATCCGAGAGGTTCAAGATGGCGGCCAAGGAGCTCCTCTATCCATCAGATGGCACAAATTCTCACCGGTTTCAGGGCAAGCTCACCTTGACCACAAAGGACAGTCAGACCGACGATCTCTACGAAAAGCCAATGGAGGACAACGAGCACATGTATGTGCTTGCAACTCTTGTTCCCAGATTGGAGAAGGAATTTATGATTTCGCCCGAGTCGGAACCCCTGGGTGGACAAATGAGGCTCCTACGCTTCGGTCCTCTACCCGCCGAAGAGGCGATGCGCCTCATGACCTTGGCTTATCAGGAAGGTCAGCACGTGCGCGAAGAGACTGTGACATATGTCGAGGTGGAGCGCGTACGCATCGATTTCTTTGAGGACCAAGAAAGATGGAGGCGGATTTGTATCGATGGCAAGATTGTAGCAGTCGAAAAAGGAGGTTGGATGGAGCTTCACAAAGAGCCTCGTCAGCTGCTGAATGTGATCAAGCCATGATGGTTTTGGTCTCACGCAAGTCCTATTTCATAAGCCTTTTTACAAATTGAGCCATCTTGGTATGATCATCCTACTCGAGTATCCCATTTGATTCTTACCTGATTATATATAAATCAGGCGACTCTGAAAGTTGTATGTTTAAAACCAACGCAATGTATTTCCCGCGGGATCATAGATAAAATAAAAAAAGCCCCTAGTTCTAAATACCGATGAACCGAGCACGCATTCATTAAAATAACCAGAAGCAAATCCATTATTAAAGCATGAGGATCGTCGGTTCGTATCTCCGGGATGACCGCCCTTGTTCACCTTCCGAGGGAAGGCCGATAAGGTCGTTCCCTACCAACTCCAACATTTGATCATTTTCCACTACACACCCAAATGGGACGTGCCAGGTCCTAGACTTGCTTTATACCTGGCCTTGTTGGACCATGGAACTGCACGTCAAATTCGATGCTGATCACGCCTCGAACGTATATCGCTTCGCAGACCCCAGACCACGCCAGTTCCCGCGCTGAGGGCGCGTCCCGCTTCTACACACTCGCCGGGTGGCATCAGAGCCCCGTGGATACAGGACAAGCTGCGGATATGTTATTCATTCATCAAGTCGGCAGTGTTCGCGTAGGGGAGGTAGCACGGTCAGTCCCAGAACCCCTAGAACACCCAGAACCCCCAGAACCCCATGCTCTCAATGCTTCAGCTTCCGGGCTCTTCCGGATTGCACACATATATGTCTCATCGAGCAAAGACTTATAGATCCGAGTTAATAGATTCACCTTGACATACACGCCAGCTGCCGATCCTATCCTGCCCATTCCGTCCGAACTCCATGTGAGAGTGAAGAACTCATCTGCGATCCCTCTTCGAGCTGCATACCTCCATGGCCCATATACTCTCTATACAGCCTGTTACCCCTCAAAATTTGACCCCAACAGCAAGTATGACCGGCAGGACACCGAAGGAGCCCCCCAGTTTGAGCCGTATCTCAAAGCTGGAGGCAGCTGGGATGCGGTCATCAAAATGCCCACGCGCTTCGGAGATTCCCACAATCTTGCTGTTGGGCAGCTCGGACCAGATGGAGACCGAAGCATGACCTGGGTCATCGAGATTGTGTCCCAGGTGATCTTCTCAAATAGCGCTGCAGTCCACTTTGAGCTGCTTGTTGGCCGCGACGCAAAGTCCGTGGACTTTTTTCGTCTGGCGCCGCCTCGATAAAACTTGGACCCCCTGGTAGATTTCATGAACATTGGCTCCCAGAAAGCAAGGGCCAACAAGTTGTTGCTACGAATGGAGTGTATTCAAAATCTATTACCTTACGCGTCGACGACACGACTAGCTTGTGGAACACTCCGCCGTTACCATCGGGTACACCGGTCCCAGCGGATGATACGCCGCAAACAAATCACTCGGACATCAATGTGAATGAAGATCGAGGACCAGAGAGTGCAAGCGAGACACAAGCCATCAAGGCTCCTAGAAAAAAAATTCATCTGGTCGTGATCACTCACGGATTGCACAGTAACCTAGGCGCCGATATGCTTTATTTGAAAGAGAGTATTGATGCCGCCGCCAAGAAGTCCAGGGAACAAGCGAAACACGCCAAAGGTGACCAGGATAATACTGACGAGGGTGACGAGCAGGTAATTGTCCGAGGCTTTTCAGGAAATGCCGTACGAACCGAACGGGGCATTCAATATCTTGGCAAGCGCCTGGCTAAATATGTTTTGCTCATGACCTATCCCGATCAGCCATACTTCCCCCTCAAAGGGTCCAAGTCGAAGTCATTTCCTCGCCCTTTTAGTGCTCGCAAAGACCAGGCTGAGCCCTCATTGAAACCCCATTCATCAGTGAACGGAGATGACTTTTTGAATGGGGAGAATATTGCCTATCAAATCACCAGCATCAGCTTCATTGGACATTCTCTCGGTGGATTGATTCAAACATACGCTATCGCATACATCCGGAAACACTCACCCGAGTTTTTTGACCGAATCAGACCGGTGAATTTCATTGCTCTCGCATCTCCCTTTTTGGGCCTCAGCAATGAAAACCCAATGTATGTGCGGTTTGCTCTAGACCTGGGCCTTGTTGGACGGACTGGACAAGACCTCGGCCTTAGCTGGACAGCGCCGAGGGTGCGAAGCGGTTGGAGTGCTCTCATCGGTGGTCGAGGAGACTCATCAAAGGCCCAAAGCCAGCCAGACCCTGGCGCAAAGCCGCTTCTACGAATCCTGCCCTGTGGTCCCGCACATGAGGTTCTTCACAAATTCCACCACCGCACCATATACTCGAATGTAGTGAACGATGGAATTGTTCCACTACGAACCTCGTGTCTCCTCTTCTTAGACTGGCGTGGCCTCGATCGGGTTGAAAAGGCAAGAAGAGACAACGGTCTTGTTGGCACCATGGCCGAATGGGGCTGGGCCGAATTGACGGGGGCTAACTCGAAATCCCCGCGAATAGTAACCGCGTCGGGAGATGGCAATAACGGAATGAAAACCAGGCATCAGGGCCTCTCCGAAGAAACACAATCCTCTCAGGGAGCCGTTGCGGTCGATGATTCATCGTCACCAAGCCCCGGTCAATTCCTGGCACGCATGCCTTCGCGTGGGAGTAGCGCCGTGGACACGGGACCAAAAGAAAGTGAATCCGAAAGGAACTCTGGTCCTCTCAATTCCTTTCTCTCACTGTTTCGCCCGAAAGAAACTAAGCACACGCCTGGCAAGGGTTCTAAAATCTATAGGCGCAGCCAGACCGTCGCATCTTTCGACCCTAATGAATCACCGGCTCCCATCGTGCGAGGCAATTCTATGTACGAGGAGGAAGGCGTCCATACACCTCCGAGGACAACGTTTTTTGAATCGGCGGGAGACTTGCTGATGCCACCATTGCCCCCCACGGATTTCATTTTGGACCCGGCTGCTCGTCCTCGGACGATCTTCCATGATCGTATCTATCATCCCGAAGATATTCCCCATCCATTGCCGGTGAAGCGCCGAACGTTGGCGTTCGGCTCGCTGCAAAGCAAGAGCTCCAAATCGGCCCCTGCTTCGGCAACTCAACTTTCTTCCGGCTCCGAGCCCAATGCCAACGGCTATGGGAGTGGGCTCAAAGTCGAGGAGAAAATCGCCAGAGCCTATCATCGTGATCTGTCTTGGCGTAAGGTGCTCGTCCGCCTCGAGCCCGATGCACACAACAACATCATTGTGCGGCGCATGTTTACTAATGCTTATGGATGGCCCGTGGTGAAGCATCTTGTTGATACGCACTTTGGCCACTCTCCCACCATCGAGGTCGATGATGCGTTGAAACAGAGTGTCGATCGTGCCAAGTCCCCGAATGTTGGACCGACTAGCTCAGGTGACGAAGTTGAAGGCCAGAGTGATGCTGGTGAGCGTGATGTGGAAAGCAGCCATTGCACCATGCCGGTCCATTCTCATGACCCTGACGCGTTTCAGCCGCATGAACGAGCTGACACCTCCCCCGCCGAAAACGAATCTCACAAGACTGCGAGCACTCTTGAGCAGTCCCAGTACACGGGCGTCTCTCGGCAGGATTCAGCACGGTGGACTGATCGACAGGTGGACGAGGATGATGACCGTGAGTCCGGATTGGACGAAGAGGACGAGGTCGGCTTCCGTCGATCCCCACGGCTGAACGCCTGAGACAGGCTTGAGATCCGGGAAAGCTCACCGTAAAGATTGTACATATTTTGAACATACCCTGTAATCAATTGAATTTATAAAACAAGGACCGACGCTTAAAGTCCCATCTAATATTCCAACTTGCCCTGGATGTAGCTCCAGAACTCTTCGACGATCTCCTTCTGGCCCGCCGGAGCGCCACGGACTGCGAGATACTTTCTCCCGTCCAGACGAGTCTTCCAACCCCCCGGGCTGCCATCAACCATGATGCCTCCAGCCTCGGCTAGGATCACCCACCCGGCGCAGACATCCCACTCCCAGCATCCACCCTCCCAGTAGAGATCCAACGTGCCCTCTGCCACGGCGCAAATATTAAGGGCTGCGGATCCCAAACTCCGCATAGAACGAACCATTGCCCCGCCTTTCTCCTTTGATTGGCCCAACTTTTCGAAAGTCCGGATTTTGGTCTCCCAATTCTGGCCGCTACGATCTGATCCCCATTCAATGGCGATGAGGGCATTGGCCAAGCCTGCCAGGGGCTCCACGTTATTCCCTTTCAACGGCAGACGAGTCGTACGGTTCAAGAAAGCTCCTTGACCTCTGATGGCAGTATAGAGATTCTTAGTAGAAGGGTTGTAGACCACGCCCACAGTCGGGATCCGCCCTACGGCGAAACCGAGCGAGACACAGGCGCAAGGGAAGCCGTGAACGAAGTTGACAGTCCCATCGATCGGGTCCACGATAAAGGTAGGGGCATCGGTCAATGGATGAGCCGGATTGTAAGTCTCCTCGCCGTGGAATCTACTCGGCAAGACAGGATGAGCAGGAGCTCGGCATGTTGCTGCAGTGATCACCTACACATAATCGGGATATTTCTCCTTTAAGGAGGTCGAGATCATGTTTTCGACCGCACGATCATACTCTGTCACGAGATCGGCACCTGGAGAGATTAGTTTCAGTTTTTGCTCGCGGAAATTTCCAAACTCCATACTGTTCAATTTCGAATCGGTGTCACTAGTGCCTGGAAGGGCATTCGTAATGATATCCCCGGCCTGAAAGGCCAGCGACACCAGGAAATCATGAATCTCTTGGAGGTTAGGGGTGGCCATGTCTGTGGAGAGGAAGCAGAAGGTAGAGCTTAGGAAGTCAAGCCCCGGACTACACTAAAAGACCCTAGAGAGGGGCAGCGCGGGGGATTCCCCGACCTCCGCCGCTCAGCGACTCAGCCGGTGGAACCAGAGGGACACATTCTATGATTTGAAATTGTCAGACTCTTAAACTGCCAGACTGTATTACATTCAACTTTGAATCTGTTAGGTGTGTACGGTAGAAAGGTGTTGCGCCGGTGACGTCGAAAAACCCCCACTTCGGGGGAAAAAAAAAGTTTCGTGCGGGCTCCGTCAATTATCGACCTTTCAACAAACTGCACGATGCCGACCGAACTCGAAGATGTGAGTTGATGTCAATGTGCAAAAGGACTCAGGTTTTCTGACTCTATATCTCGTATATAGCTGGTGGAGTTCCTTCACCATGGAAATACTCAGATTCGACAGATTGGTAAGAACTCTCGACACAATGAATGCGTGGGTTCTAACGTCCTTTTAAGCCTGCGAGAACCTCGTCGGCTTCTCCACAGCACAGCCCGATCTGTTCAAGCGACACCAATTACTCCCGGTTACAGACCTGAAGCTCCTCGCTCGAGACTATTCGGTAAGTGCGTCTCCGATCCCTCCAAGAACGCCTTCCTGATTCGAGCCCTCGTATAGCCCATCGCAAAGAATGCATTGACCATTCTCATCAACCTCTCCAGCGACGAAGATATTTTGAAGTTCCTGGTCAAAGATGACCAGTTCATCGAGGTGCTCTTGAAGAAATTGATGGTTAGTGCATCCTCAATAGATCGAGGTAAGCCCGACTGACGAGAGGCGCAACACTAGAATATCAAAGATCCCAATGTCGATGAGGTAGCCATGCTGCTGGCCAACCTCGTCAAATCAGACCACCTCGAAAAGCTCCATTCGCTGAAGCGCAAAGCCCCCGAGTCCGTCTCCACGTCCGAGAATGCCATCGACCAGTTGATGGACTGCTTCGTCAAAGGCGCGGACGGCAGTCTCAATAAGCATGCAAATTTTGACTATCTGTCCTATGTCTTCGCCGACCTGTCACAAAGCGAAAAGGGACGGGCGTATTTCACCACGCGGCAGGAGTACGACGGGGTGGTCCCTATCACCAAGCTGACCGTCTTTACGGAACATGAAAGCAACATTCGTCGGAAGGGTGTGGCATCCACCATTAAGAATGTGGCATTCGACGTCGCTTCCCATCCGATGCTGTTTGACGAGGATGGAGTCAACCTGCTGCCTTACCTTCTACTACCTATCACGGGCCCAGAAGAGTTCCCTGACGAAGAGTCGATGTCGATGCTGCCAGACCTCCAGTTACTGCCCCCGGATAAGAAGCGCGACAGTGATATGACCATCATCACGACACATCTGGAGACTCTGTTGTTGCTGACCACGACCCGGGAGGGCCGAGAAAAGATGCGTGCCGTGCAGGTGTACCCCATTATTCGGGAATGTCATCTTAACGTGGAAGACGATGATGTCCGGGAATCTTGTGACCGCCTGGTTCAGGTCCTTATGCGCGACGAGGAGGGTGAAGGGGAAAAGACCGACTCGGAGTTATCCAAGGCCCAGGCTCAGATCGAAGCTCCACCAGCGGAAGACGAGGATGAGAAAGTGACGGAACTGTTTTGAGAGAGATGTATATACCAGCATTTTGGAATGTAAAAATCCCATAGACCATTGATCAGACCTTCATGAAGAGGCAGCTTTTCAAAGTAATCGGCATTGCGATTAACCCGGTTGGGAAACTCCGATTGCGCGGGGCTTGATCCACTCCGATTTTCCTGAACTTCGTCTCGCTTGATCTGAGCTACTGCACGCTCTAATCCCAAACAGGCACCAAACGAGCCCCAAAGAGCCCCAGAATCGACAGCTATTGCATCATTGCCCTATCCCCCACCACAATCACGGTCGATATACCGCTGCAGACGCGGAAGCTGTCTTGTCCCCCGAATCCGAGGGGCGAGTGGCTTCCCGCATCGGACCGAGTTGAGCTGCCCGACTCTGACGTGTGCGACGATGGAAGCCGCGACTCGCCTGATCCCGTCGTGAATTTGCCCGACCATCCGTCGCTCGCTCAGCAATTCTGGGCACTGATGTCGCGTGCTCCTCTAATACGCTCATCGCCCGCGCTGGGATCTTCATCGTACGGCGCGGTGCGCTTTCCGCAGGACTCTGACGACGATGCAAATCTTGCACTTCAGCCGAAAAATACACGCCAAGTGTCTAATGGAACAACGCGTACAAGCTATGAGAGCTGTCAAGGGGGGCCTTCCAGCGGCGGAAGAAGCTCAAGACCGAAAAGGTCACACTCCTCGAACAGGCGAAAAAGCAGTGAATTGTACACGGAAGGTCACAATCGACGACCCTCGTCTGCCACCTCGGACATTGGGATGGGGGCTGATTCGAAGTACTCGTTTGCAACTGGCCTTGCCGTGCCAGGGAACCCGGTGATACAGGAGACACCGATAACTTCGCCTTATTTGACAAGTGATGACGAGGAAGATGTCTTGGATATCGAGGATGAAGTCACGAAACCGGCAGATGATGACCCGCCTGACAATTCGCCGTATGTTTGATTATTCAAATGAAAATTGCATACCGTTGATCTCCGCAAGACGCTTGCTGATCAGATATAATGCTATAGATATGCTCAAGTAAGAGCCACCGTGCCCGCGACAGACGACATCTCTCTTTCCATAAATAGTGAGTGTTCTGTCTGGGAGGAACCTGAAAACTGTTCGATCTTCTTGTACTGAAATTTGCGTTTTGCGCTTATAGCCCCTCGCATGTGGTTTCTCTCGCTGCTTTTCTCTCTCACGGGTTCCGCCGCAAATCTTTTCTTTTCTCTCCGCTACCCAAGTGTCGCCATAACGCCGATCATTGCGCTTGTTTTAGTTCATCCACTTGGGAAATTTTGGGATGTACTACTGAAGAGAACGGGCGACCACCTCGAGGTCTTCGAAAATGGCACTCTTCACCACCGAGAGTCGCTATCTGGCGAACTTGAGACACCGAAAGTTCCCTGGATGTCAAGGGTGCGGCAGTGGTTTGCCCAGGGTCGTTGGAACGAGAAGGAGCATGCGTGTGTCTATATCAGCAGCAACGTGTCCTTCGGCTTTGCTTTTGCAACCGATGTCAGTAATAATCCTGACCATTCTTCATTTTGCACATCTGACCGGCCCAACAGGTAATCGTGGAGCAGCATAAATTTTACCAGCAGGAGGTCCCCATAATGTACCAAGTACTGCTCATCATCTCCACTCAAGTCCTGGGCTACGCTTTTGCTGGTCTTACCAGACGGTTTCTTGTACGCCCATCGGCTATGATCTGGCCCGGAACTCTGATGTCGACTGCTATGTTCACCACAATGCACAAGACTACCAACAAGAAAGCCAATGGGTGGAGCATCTCCCGATACAAGTTTTTCATCGTTGTATGGGGAGGTGCTTTTCTTTGGTACTTCGTCCCGGGCTTGCTGATGCCTGCACTCAGCTATTTTAACGTCATCACTTGGTTCGCTCCGAAGAACGTCGTGGTGTCGAACCTGGTGAGAATTTTGCCTGATATGACATGGATTGCGTTACTGACTGCATATCAGTTTGGCGTTGCATCTGGTCTTGGGATGTTTCCTTTGACTTTTGACTGGGCTCAAATTGCGTATATTGGATCCCCATTGCTCACCCCATGGTGGGCTGCCGCCAACATTGTGACCGGTCTCGTGGTTGTGATTTGGATCATCGCTCCTATTCTGTGTAAGCTTCAGCCTCACTCTACTTTATTGCACGCTTAAACCTGACTGCATCGAAAGACTATAAAAATGTGCTCTTCTCTTCCTACATGCCCATCTTGTCAGCGGCGGTGTTTGATAACACCGGACACCCATACGACGTGAGCCGTATTTTGACTTCCGAGTTCCTGTTCGACCAGAAGGCATACGAGGAGTATTCACCGGTTTACCTCCCTATTACCTACGTGTTGTCCTATGGGGTTCAATTCGCTGCCCTGACTTCTCTGGTCACCCACACCATCTGCTGGTATGGCAAAGACATTTTGCACCAAACACGAAAGGCCTTTGAGGAAAAAAGAGAGATGCCTGATCTCGAGACATATGAGCCTCTTCGAACGGAAAACGGATCTCGCCCTACTCGTCGCAGCGATGACATGTCACGAGTCAGCTCCCATGATCCGACCAGGGAGATGCCCTTGGGCGTGGAGGATGTCCACTGCCGCTTGATGAGGCGATACAAAGATGCCCCGCTCACATGGTACCTCATTGTGCTTGTTACGATGCTGGCCATCGCCACTTACACTGTGGAGCAGTACGTGCCCCCTTCCTGTTCGTCCTCTACTATTTTGATTGATGCTGATATTCATGTGAAGCTACCCGGTTCACTTACCCTGGTATGGGCTATTCCTGGCCCTTATCATCACGAGTGTGTTTTTCATTCCAGTTGGAATCATCATGGCTGTCACCAATCAACACAGCAGTCTCTATCTGATTTGCCAGCTTCTCTGTGGCATCGTCTTCCCCGGTCGACCAGTTGCGAACATGATATTCGTGACTTACTCCTATATTAGCTCCGCTCAAGGGATCAAATTCTCTTCAGACCTGAAGCTCGGGCATTATATGAAGATCCCACCTCGCATCCTATTTGGTGTGCAAATGATGGCAACGCTGGTGTCCAGTCTAACCCAGATTGGTGTACTCAACTGGATGTTTGCCTTTATTCCAGGGTTGTGCACTCCACAGGCGATGAACGGATTCAACTGCCCTATTGCGCGGGTACATTTCAACGGTAGTATCCTCTGGGGAGTGGTTGGTCCGCAGCGCTTCTTTGGTCCTGGGGGCCTCTATCGACCTCTTGTGTGGGCGTTTTTGCTCGGCGCAATTGCACCACTCGGAGCTTGGATCCTCGGACGGCGGAGCAAGAAGAATATCTGGCGCATGATCAATTTCCCCATTTTATTCGGCAGTCTGAGTTGGATACCGCCGGCGACAGGATTGAATTTCTCTATCTGGGCTGTCGTGTGTTTCGTATTCAACTATGTGATTCGGAGACGAAAGACAGCTTGGTGGGAGAAGTACGCGATGACTCTCTCAGCAGCCTTGGACTCTGGACTGGCATTTGCCGTGATCGTTGTTTTCTTCGCGTGCATCTACCCGGGTTGGGTTGATGGGTTCCGATGGTGGGGAACGGAAATATATAAACAGGTGAGTATTAAACTTTTTTTTCTTTTCTGAGTTATCTCTAGCTAACTTATTATTTCTTGAATAGGGATGCGACTGGATTGCATGTCCTTATAAACAATTGGAGCCCGGGCAAACTTTTGGAGGGTGAAGTGAAGACTAAAAAAATGTATGGATTTATATAGAAAGGAGACGAGACGAGACGAATGAGAGGTATGGTTTCTAGAGGATAAGCATCTTTCTCAACATCTAGACAACTTAGACTGAAACTCGTGTAGCTGTAAGAGGTTAAAACACTAGTGAAAGTGAAAGTGAAAGTGAAAGTGAAATTGAAAGCGCGGAAATGCCAAGGCCCCGCTTACTCAGCCCCGATGTTGACCTCATCCTCATCGTCACTTCGTCGCTGTGTTTCAACTCTCTTCTGCGGATCCGACTGCATCGATATTCTTGGTTGATGCGATTCAATACTCCACATAATTATTTCAAGGCGACAAAGTGCTCTCTCTCTGTGACATGTCGACTCCAACGAACCCTTCGAATGGCACGCCGACGGGGTCGAATGGAGCTCCCCCCATGCGAATGCGCCGACCCAAAGCAGCAGATCCGCTCGTACGCCCCAAGAGAAGACCGGTGAGGCCTACTGGAGTTCCTCCTACCGGTAGTGTTGCGACCAAGACCTTGCCTACGCGACCCCCCATCTCGAACGTCCAGCAGCCCTCTCTGATGGGAGGTATTCTACCCACGCCTGTCAAAGCAGAACACGCCGTAAACGGGTTCAGTGGCCCCCTATTGTCTCAAAAGTATGTCGACTATCCGTTGGTGACGACAAAACGAGCTCTGCGAGAGGGAATTAAACACCACATCGCCCGGTTTGCCTCCAAACGAAGCGTCGACCCACGCGACGAATCACAATTCACACGACCTGTGAGGCTACATCGTCGGGATCCAAGAACACGGTCACAGGATCCGAACGCCGAGAAGATTCTGGGACCCGATGGCCAACAACTCGACGAGGCGGAACGGGAGGCATTGGATGCTAGGAGAGCTGCTCGAGAGAAGGAGCGTGCAGAAAATATGGCCCAGATTGCGCCCTCTGTAGGATCACTTGGCAAAAGACCGAACGCCCCCAAGGCGAAAACGCAGCAGGTCTTCAAATCGGATCTGACCCCCGAGGAGATCGCGAAGGCTCGGATTAAGTACGAAGAGGCGCTTCCGTGGCACCTTGAAGATTTCGATAACCGGAATATCTGGGTGGGAAACTACGAGGCAGCGCTGTCGGAGACCCATGCGGTTTTTGTTCTTGACAACGGAAAGATGCGAATGATTCCTGCCGAGAAGTGGTACAAATTCAGTGCCAAAAGTCAGTTCAAGGCCTTGACTATCGAGGAGGCGGAGAAATTGATGTCAAAGCGAATCAAGGACCCGCGCTGGTTCATGGAGAAGCAACAAGAGGTCGAACAGCAGAAGGAATTGGAGCAGTTTGCCAAGCAGAGAAAGGTCTTTGCTGGAAAGCAAGGCGTCCTTGCCGGACGAGAGGGACTTGAGGCTAGTGAGATGGACTTCGAAGAGGATAGGTTTGCAGATGACGAAGAGCACGACGATCTTTTCAACGAGCAAGACGAAGATACCAAAGCTGCTGAAAAGAGAATCAAGGAGGACCGGCTGAAGGCGAATGTATTCGATCTAAAGGAGGAGAAAGACTACGAAGAAGAAGAGATTCGCGAAAAGAAGGAGCGTGAAGCTCGCAAAGTCCAGGGCAAGAAAGTCAGAAAAGCTCTTAAGAAGAGAGAACGGAACTTTGACTACAGCAGCGGCTCCGATGTAAACCCTTACACTGACGAAGAGGTAAGGCGAGAGCCCTATAAACACCAAGTTTTCAACGCTGATTGCTTTCTACCCCCAGAGCTCCGATGATAGCGAGACCGAGCGACAGAAAGAAGAAGAACGCAAGGCCGAGGAGGAGAAGAACCAAAAGGAGTCGGCGTCATCCTCCAAGGACTCCAACACACCCTCGGGCAGACCGAAGCACTCTGATCCGCTGAAGAAGTCATCCGCCTCTCTGAAGAGGCTGGGATCACCCAATGCCTCGGATGCCAGTGGGACAGACACTTCTCGAAAGAAGGTGAAGAACAAACATCAGTCCTCGCAGCCAACTCCTCATCCAACTTCTCGTCCAATCTCTCCGTCTGCATCACAGGTAAGTGCAAGGTGATTACTCTCCTACAGGGCCGTGGTTTCTAATGACTTGTTTGTAGGCTGGCAAGAAACGCGTCCGAAACCCTCACCTGGGTGGATCCGGATCTGGCAGTGATGTTGATATCGGCGCGGGCTCTGGACCCGAGATGAGTGAGAGCGGCAAGGCTAAGAAGCTGAAGCTCAACCCACCTTCGGGGGTCTCTCGTGGAGGTACGCCGCAGGGTTCCCGAGCTGGAAGCCCTATTGCCGGACGGGCCTTCTCCGGCAGTCGAGCCAGCAGCCCCGAGGGGACTTCTCGAGGTATGTATCCCATTGAAGAGCCAAACTTTATGGTACAGATACTGATTTAGCTGGATAAGGTCGTGGAACGCCTGGACCAACTGGATCATTCCCCACACCCGCAGAAGTTCATGCAGCGATTCCGCCGTCGGGTATTCTGACCGGTGATCTTTCGCGAGCATTCCGATCTCGTCTTGGACCTTCCAAAGAGAACCACCAACGGTTCATCGAGATTGTCAAGAAAGTCAGTGTGTACGGCAAGGAAGACCGTATGCTGCGTCCCGGGCCTTGGAAGGAAATTTGAGAAGATATCCTCCCAGTTTTACTATGGTACTACAGTGATAGAAGTGTGTATGATACACCAGTCCTGGCCTAAAAATGAATATGAAAAGGCGTCGTCGTGAATAACGCATTTCCAAATAACGCATAGGATGAGGATAAAATATTGTATAGAATCCAATTCTTAACAAAACTAGAACAAAACATATACATTCAACTGCGCCAAGTTTGAGACATGTCACATCACGACCTGTAAAAAACAAAGGTCTTTCTATCGAGAAACCAAAAGAATAAACACATTAGAGACGAGGGGGAATCACAACATTATTAGGCCGCACGGGCAGCGGTCTCGTTTCCCTCTTCGTATTTGTCCCAGTTGGCCAGGATTGATGCGATGCGAGGCGAGTTGGTAAGCTTGTAAACATCCTCGAAGTACTCCTTGGTGATCTCGAACGGACGAGCAGTCACGTTAGGAATGTACTTGCCGACCAACTTGCTGGGGTCGATGGTGGTCTTGTTAATCTTCTTGAGCAAGAAGGACCGGAAGGGCTTGACACCAGAGCGCAGGAATGTGCTGTGGAAGGGCACATCGATACCCTTGAGAGGGATAGTGGCAAAGCCACGCTCGAGGTTGATAGGGCGCGGCTTGGCCTCGGTCTGCTTGACACACTCCATGATGATGCTCACCAGATGAGCCTTGACATCTTCAAGAGACATAGTCTGCATCAAAGTGGGAATGTCAATGTTCTGAGCCTTAAGGAAGTTCAGAAGGTTGGTGAGGCAGTCAAGGGCACGGAGCTGGGAAGGACACGTTAGTATAGGGCGTCAAAAAAAAAAGTAATCAAGGTAGCAAACTTACATCACCAGCAGCCACATATTGCATGTTAGCAACGTTGTAGTTGACAATCTCCAGAAGCCAGCCGGTCTGCTCCGCGATGTTCTCAACAACGTACTGCAAAGCCTGCTCGTTGAAAGTCTTGGAGATACGGCTGGGGTTGACAGCACACATGGAGTAGTTGGAGCGACCCTGCTCGTCACGCTCGACGGCAACCTGCATGGTCAGACCACGGTAGAAGACAACGGAAACCAAGCTTTCAATGGGCATGACATCAGCCAGGGCAGCCAGAGCGGAGTATTCACCCAGGGAGTGACCTGCGAAGCTGCTGTCACGCTGCACTAAACCCTTAGAGCGCATGTCCTCGAAGCTGGCCTTCTCCATCAGGGTCAGGGCAGGCTGAGTGAACTGAGTGGCAGACAGTAGGCCAGTGGGAGAACGGTAGGTGTACGAGGCGGTAGTCTCGTCAACCTCCTTGAAGATCTTCTCTGACTTGATCGATCCATCGGCGTTCACCGACTCGAAGGTCATCGACATGTAGTTCTGACGAATGGCCTTACCCTGAGGACCACCGAAGTAGACGGTAAGCTCCTTGGGGTTGTTCTTGACGATGTCGATGATGGACAGGCCGTAGTTCTCAATGAAGTGGCGATCAGCGCGGTCCCAGACCTCCTTGGCTACGGGGCTGCTAGCGTAAAGCTCCATACCCATACCCTGTTCCTGAGAACCCTGACCGGTGAAGACGTAGGAGGTAACGGGCTGCTCAACCTCGGCCTCACCCATGAGAACCTTGTCCTCGGTCTCCTTGTTCATGGCCTCGACCTTGATAATCTTGCGACCGGCAATCATACCGACGTGCTGGAGCTTGACGGTGATCATATCGTTGGGCAGCACCATGCCGACCAGAGAGACGTGGAAGCCACGAACGCGGCCGATGTTGTTCTCGGCAGCCCAGGTCTCCACCAAGCTGCGGACCGCAGCACTGCTGTACATACCGTGGGTGATGGTGCCCGGGAGGTTGGCGTAGCTGGAGAAGACACGGGAAACGTGAATGGGGTTGTAGTCGCCGGAGACACGAGCATAGGTCTCGTTAGAGGCCGGAGAACGCAGCTCGAGAGGAGTTTTGCCACTCAGAGGGATGGGGTTCTCGAAGTAGACGGGTTGCTCAATGGAAGTTCCATTGCGCTGCAGGTAGTCAATGACGGGGTTGCCGTGGGAAGTGCCGGCCTGGTAGTCAACAGAGGCGACCTGGATGACCTCCTTCGTGGGCAGCTCAAGCAGGACCTGACCAACGGTCTGAACATTGCTGAACACAGTCTTGTTCTTGAAGCGAATCAAGCTCTGCAGACGGAAAGTAATGGTCTGACCGAGAAGCTCAATGTCAGATTCGTCCATGCAGAACCACTCCTTGGAGCGGAGAATAGCAACATCCCGGCTAGTGGCGAGGTGAACCTGCATGGGCACCTCATCCTTGCGCTGGAAGGTGTTCTCGAAGTCGAGGTAATCACCACGGTAAAGGAACTGACTGGTGACGTGCATAATGGCCTTACCCTCACGCTTGATGGTACCGCAAACCTCAACCATCTTGCCAGACTCCTGGTTGATGACGGCGTTGATCTGGGCAGTGGTGTCCAGAACGTCACCAACCTTCAGAGGCTCAGCACCAGGAACCATTTTAAAGCCGTTGGAAAGGTGGACCAGTCTCAGCAGGTCACAGTCAATAGTGCGAGGGAAGATGGGCTTGGTGATGGCCTTCCAACCAGCCACAATAGCGAAGTCCATGGGGGCAAAGACCTCCTTGCCGGGGCGGTCAACAAAGGCCTCACCGGTGTTGCCGACAGCGTGCACGAAGTCGGCAACAGCCTGGGAAGTGATGGTCTCCCGGCCGCCGTTGAAAGTAGCGGTGGTGGGGGTGTCGAAAGGCACGTCCTTGTTGCCGAACCAGATGCGATAGTAGAACTCCTTGATGCGGTCATTACGATCACCCATAACCTCGCGGATGGGGGCATAACCGGTCTCCGGGTGGTATGTGAACAGGAAGGACAGGGGGACAACACCGCCCTCGGCAGTGCGGCCCTCGAAGAGGGTCAGGCTAATCTGACCGTCCTCGTTCATCTTGGCCTCGACAGTCTTGACCAATTTGCCTGACTGGTAGGGCTCACGGACGCTAATGACAGTCTTAGAGGGATCGGTAGGATTGGTGATCTCCACATAGAGACCAGCAGTGGGCGCCACGATGCGCTTCATGGGGTTGGTCTGGAAACGGTGACCCTGGACGAACACATCGGCCAGGAACAAGGCGTGACGCCAGGAGTAGGAGTCGCCAGCCAGAAGACGGAGCCAGCGGCCGACCTCGGGCAGCTCAACGGAGGAAGACGAAGACAGGCGGAGGCTGATCTTATTGGTCTCTTCAGAGACGGTGAGACCTTCCATCTCCTGCTGGTCCTCGGAGCTGAGCATCTGTCCACCAAAGTACTCGATCACGGGAATCTTGGCCTTGTCACCGCCGTACACGTCGCGGAGAAGACCGGCAATGTGGCCCTTGTGGACACCATCGAGGATGTCCTTCACAGGCTCATCGATGACGGTAGAGAAGCGAGCAGACATAGGACCCTGTAGAATACAGGTACGACCGACATCCTGGTCAACGACAGCCTCGAGGTCCTCGCTCTGCCAGAGGGAGTCCTTCTTGAAGAAGTACTCAAAGTTCTCATCGAGAGAGGGAACGAAAGGAACGGGCTTCTGTCCACGGCGCTGGCAGAGCAAAAGGAAGTGCTGCACATCCTGGGCGTTGATCAGCTGAGAAGCAGCCGCGGGATAAGCGGCCAGAATGCTGTCGACAGTCGGGTAAGGGGTGTCGAGCTCGGAGTAGCTCTGCAGCTTCGAGTCTTGATCATTCGCGGTAGTGAAACGCTCCTCAACACGACGCAGGAAGTCACCAGTGAGGCGCTTAAGGGAGGCATCAATCCAGCGAGACTCGTGCTTGATGTACATGAGATCGACCATGCGGCGAACCACCTCGGCGTAGGTCATGTCCTCCAAGTCCACGGTCTCTCCAGCGGCGTTGCGGCCGAACCACACCTTGTGGAAGTCATCGTTGAGCTTCTTGATGATGTAGTTGCGCTGCTTCTTGAGCTCAGGAATACGCTTCGCCTTGTCGAGCTTGAATATCTTCTGGTCCATCTCTTGCCAGAACAGAACACCACGAGTGGCCAGCTTGTGAATGGGCTCGCCCATCTCGGACAAAACAGTGATGACACCGCCAGTAGCAGACATGTAGGTCTTCTCCCACTCCTCGTCGTCGACGCCGGGGGCATCGGCAATAGCCTTCTTGGCATTCTTGGAGGTGTGTGCCTCCTTGGCAATCATCATGCGAGAGCCGAAGAGACATCCGTCGAAGGGCATGGCAGGGTAGCCGAACTTGGAAGACCAGGTACCGGAGAGGTAGGGGTATGTATCCTCAGCTCCACCAAAACCACTACCGGCGACAAGAACGATGTTGTCGTACTTGCGGATGCGGCTGTACATCTGAAGGATAGGCTGGTGGAAGTCTTCGAACGAGTGGTGACCACCACCACGGCCACCAGTCCACTGCATAATGATGGGGAACTTGGGGTTAGCCTTGGCGATATTGATCACCTGTTGGATAGCATCGACGGAACCGGGCTTGAAAGCGATGTGCTTGATGCCGAGGGTCTCGATATACTCGTTGGCAACCTCGATAGAAGGCACACCGGCACCGATGGTCAGACCCTCAATGGGAACACCGTCAGCGCGCAAGCGGCCGATCAGAGGAATCTGCCACTGCATGGCACGGGGGTTGACATAGATCAGATTGATCGTGATACCACGACCAGGCGGGCAAGCCTTCTCAATCTTGTTGATAGCCTCAGTCATGGTCTTGGCGTTGTAGTAACCACCACCAGCAAGCTCAACGTGGTAGCCAGCGTTCATCGTGGCGGCCACGAAGTCCCAAGGGACAGTAGTGGGGGTCATACCGGCCACCATGACGGGAGGAATGCCCAAGAGACGACTCATCTTGGTGTCGACGTAAGTTTCGCCAGTGGAAGTCTGCACCAGACGCGGGCCGTGCTCCTTGACCCAGTCGGAGGCGTACATGACCGAGTGCTCATCACGGTCAAACAGCTCCGGCTTGTAGCCAACCTCAGCGTTGGTGCCATCCATCTCAC